GTGTGTGAGGAAGATCAGCCCTGAGCTAACATCCGTGCTAATGCTCCTCTTTTTGCTGAGGAAGACCAGCTCTGAGCTAACATCTATTGCCAATCCTCCTCCTTCTTTTCCCCCAAAGCCCCAGTAGATAGCTGTATGTCATAGTTGCACATTCTTCTAGTTGCTGTATGTGGGACGCGGCCTCAGCATGGCCGGAGAAGTGGTGCGTCGGTGCAGGCCCGGGATCCGAACCCCGGCCGCCAGTAGTGGAGTGCGCACACTTAACCGCTAAGCCACTGGGTCGGCCCCCGATCCATTTTTTTAGTATTTATTTTTTATAACTAATTTTACCCATAAGTCCTTTTTTTCACACTGGATTTCTCTGGTCCATTCATTCTCCCATTCTTATTTCTCCTCCTGTCCTCAATCTTAACTGACAGCGATAGCTCATTCATCAATACGTGTATGACGCAGTAAAAGTACCGCCATAAGCTTCATCACCACATCTCCATTTAGCTACGTCTTTTCTCCCACTGCCCTAGACTGGAGGTTCTCAGCCCGCTCTGTGCACCAAACATCCAAGGCATCTTTGAAAACTGGCTCCACTCCAGACTGATTGAATCAGAATCTCTATGGGTAGGGGCTAGATGCTGGAATTAAAAATAAAATCTCTCCTGATGACGTTACCCTGCAGCCAGGGTTGAGATGGTCTTAGCTAAACCCAGCTCTCCACTCGGGCGCCAGCTCTCATCAGCGTCTGCATGCCCAAGGACCTTGTCCAGCAAGTTTCTTCCCTTACTCAGGTGCCACCAGTTTTTCCCTCTCCAGTGAATCATCTTTTCAGCATACACACATGCTGTTATTTCTCCCATCATTAAAAAGACCTCTTGATTTCTCTTCCTACTGCAGCTACCTTACCATCTCTCTCCTCTTTACATAAAACTGCTTTAAAGAGCTATCTTCTCTGCGTCCATTTCTATTTTACCACTCTGTTTGGAACTAAATCCATTCAGATTTTTGCTCTTAACAATCCACCAAAACTACTAACCTTCACATTTCTAAAAACAATGGTCAGTGCTCAGTCTTCACCTCAATTGACCAAGCAGCAGCCTTTGGCATAATTGATACTCTTTCCTCCTTGAAATCTCTCATCACTGAGCTCCCAGGAAAGCACCCTTGCCTCATTTTTCTCCCTTATTCTTTGTTGCTCCTGGTGGTTCTACCTCATTTCACTGAATTATTTATATTGGAGTTTACTGGGACTCAGTCTTTGGACTTCTTATATTTTTGTCTAAACTCCTTCCCTAAGTGATATCATATAGTCTTTGGGCTTTCACTACCATCTACAGGCTCATGTGTCTCAAATTTATATCTCCGGCCAGCCTGACACCCCCTCTCTTATCCTGACCTCCCTAACTCAGATAATGTCATTTCATTCTTCTAGTTGTTCAGGCTGAAACAAACTTGCCGTTATCTCTGAATCTCTCACTCTCTGTGGCAGGTAGGATTTTGGTTCCATGATTTTGCCCTCTGCTGTTATACATGTGAAAATGTTATATTATCTGGGGAAAGTGAATTAAGGTGGCTAATGAGCTGACCTTAAATCAGAGAGATGATCCTGGATTATCCAGGTGAGCCTAATGTAATCACACGACTGAAAGTGAAAGAGGAAAGCAAAAGATTTGGTCAGAGAGATGCAAAAACAGAAAAGGAAAAAGGAGAAATTCGAAGCATGAGAGGGAGACTCAATCTACCATTGCTGATTCTACAGATGGAGAAGGGGGCTATAGGTCAAGGAATGCAGACGGCTTCTAGAAGCTGGAAAATCAAGAAAACAGATTCTCCCTAGAACCTCCAAAAAGGAATGCAGCCCTGATGGTACCTTGATTTCAGCCCAGTGGGAACCATTCTGGACTTCTGACCCATCTAAGATAATACATTTATGTTGTTTTCAACTACGACATCTGTAGTAATTTGTTTGGCAGCAATAGAAAATTAATACACTCCCCATCCCCAGTTCATCAGCATTTCCTGCCAGCTCTACCCTAAAAATATATCCAAAAATTGACTATTTCTCACTACACTCTTGTTCCACTTTGGTCCAACCACTGCCATCTCTTGTCAAACTTACCGCTAGAGTCTCCTAACCAGTTACCCTGCTTCTGCCCTCAGAGTCCTTCAGCCAGTTCATATTGCAGCAGCCAGGCTGATCCTGTTAATGCATAAGAGATACCAGGTTTCTCTCCTGCTCAAAACCCTTCAATGACTTCAACACTCACTAAGCACCACAGCCAGAGTCCTTCCCATGACCCTTCCAAGCCCCACATGGTCTGGCTCCTCATCTTCCACCCTTTCTATATTTATTCATCTGCTGCCACCCTGCTAGTTCCTCCAACAGGATGGGATGCTCCCCTCCGGGCTTTGTACTCACCTGCAATGCTCCTCCCTAGACATCCATATGGTTAACTCCCCGCCTCCCTAAAGAGGCCTTTCTTAATTGTGATTTATCTACTACACCAGATATTTAACTTTATCTTATTGTTTGTGGTCACCAACGCTACAAGTTGGTCATAACAGTAGTAGAGATTTCGTCTGCTTCATTCACAGCTGTCTGGCCCATAATAAAGACTCAATAAATATCTGATGAATTAATGCACTTTTCTCATGAAATACGCCTCTTGGATTTGTTCTCTTGTTCCTATTCCGACTGCTACTATCCCAACCCAGCTCACTCTACTAACATTGAAATTTCACCATTGCGTTTTTTATTGGTTTCTTTGATTCCAGTTCTATCCTCACCCTTCAATCCATCCTACAGATATATATACCTGGTTAAGCTTTGCTAAAAAGCATTTGTAGCACATACATTTCCTTCTTAGGAATATACCGTGGCTCCCGCTGCATTCTGCTTCAAGACTAGACCTTGAATTATCCTCAAGAATCTTCTCTACTTAAAACCACCTTGGCAGCTCCTCTCCTCGCTTTATGCTCCTCGCAGACAGATCTCCACGTTTGGGCTCTCCCACCTCTGCGCCGCTGCTCACCCACGCTGCTGCCCGAATGCAGGGTTTTCTTCTTTCCCTCTTTCAAATGTCTAAGCTTTAAGCAACCGTCAAGATCAGAGTCTCTCAAAAATCACCTTCCCCGGGAAACTTTGCCCAACTACTCCAGTTCCACCAGACTTCATTTTTACTCATCAATTGTTTTCTATTTTATCATGACATTTTTCCCCTCTCTCTTCTTAGAGTGTAGGTTTTTTGAGGACAGGGTTCATATCTCTTTCTGCTCTTTGGTCACCCAAGTGACAGCAGAGTTCCATGCCTAGAGCAACTGCTTAAGAAGTATTAACTCAGTTTGTGTGACTTCGATGTTTTCCCAAAACATTATAATATTTTGGGAAACATTGTAGTATAATATATATTTCCTTTTGGAAATACAGCTTCCTCTTGGTCTCTGGGTTTATTATTTTACTATTCTTAATTTCTTTGTAACCCTAACTTAGGCATTACTTGTCTTGCAGATATGTTACACAAGAGACTTTATAACTTTGCAAATAAATTGTTTTTGTTTCATTACTTGTAAATCAATATAAGGCTTAAATCTAAAGGCCTGCATTCTAACTCAGGTTTGCTCCGACAACGCTGCTGGGTGAACTTGGATGAATCATTTCACTCTTTCCCTCAACACCACTGGAAGATCCTGGGATGGGCAGGAGGATGCAGTGAACCTGACTGACAGTGTCCCTGCCTCTCGATGAGCTTATAGCTTTACAGAGGGGATGGCCATTAAATGAAGAGCTACAAGTGATAAGAGAATAATAAAACGGGAGACGAGAGTGCTTGGGACAGCTTTCCAGAGAATGTGGTACATTGGCTGCATCTCAGTGCGTTCATGAGTAAAATAAGAGGATTGGACTAGATGATCTCTTATATACTTTCCAGCTCAGAGATTCTCTGCCACTGTCATTGCATTTTAAGAAATAACAATCTCAGAACTTCTCAGAGTATTCTAGTTTGACTAGCAAACCCACACAAAACCATGAAAAGAACTACTTTAATCTTATTATTATAGCTATTATTGTGTATAATGTGCTGACAGTTTTATTAGATACAGATCCACAATCCCTATTTGAAAGTTTTGGGACCACATATGTTACTAAATTTATTATTTTCCGAGATAGAACAGGTTAAAAAATATAAATACTTCAGGGATAGTTTTACCATTAAATGAGTTACCAAAAATCTGGTTTTCAGAGATTCTGATTTTGAAATCTGGTTAATGGAATGTGAGTCTTTATTCTTTGCATGCCTGTTTTAGACTAATTCAACCATTGGTTTTAGATGCAATTAAGGTAAATTAATTTATATTTGCTTCTTTGAAGCTTTCTACATTTATACCTACAGCTGGAAAGTTTTTCTCACATTGGAACTTTGGAAGGTAGATTCTAAAAACAGAAACAGAAAAATTAATACACAAGAATACAAGAATGGTGAGAAACAATAGTCTTGTAAAGACTATTGAATTTGGATTGAGTATTCTTAGTAAAATGAGATAGTAAAAGCCAGCCAACTACATTTGGTTTAAGCAATAAACCAATTGACTCTAATATGCTGAGAGTTTTGGGGGAACTGACTTTACCACCATGTCTATCCGTATATGAGATAATAATTACCGAATTTTGCAACACAATCTCATCATCAAAATTAACAATTTCATTGGAAAAAGCAGTTTCATTAACAACTTAAATAAACAATTCGAAAGGGAATCACTTGCTTTTCAGGAAGGTAATTCTTTTAAGAAATATACAACAATTTAATCAAAATTTTGCATTTTTTTCATATTTCCTGGGAAATGAGACCTTTAACAGTGTTCATTGGAAAGAGCATTTTTTTCTTGAATACTTCAGACAGTTAAAGCCTCTATTATTTAAAAGAAGTTCCATCCCCCATTTCCCCACCAAAAAAACAAGCAAAAAACATGAAAACCACATCAGACACATTTTTGTTGTTGTTGTCGTGTACCTTCTTTGTCATCGTGGTGGATAATTGCATCCTGTATCATGTCAGCAAGGTTAAAATGAACTTTCTGATTCTTCCCACGTTTCAGCTTCTTCAGGAACCCTTCCTGCTTCTGAAAAGCCTTCTCTCGTTCATAATAGGCTTTGATCTGTTCACAGCGCATGCGCTGCACCAGCCGCTGCCGTTGGCCAAGGGGAAGGGACTCCAGCAAGCACTGGTCAATTTCCATTTCATGGGATCGAAAAACATTACATAGCTGAAAGCAACCTGAAAGAAAAGCAATGGGAAAGTCACCAGACCTATTACTCCAACCGTGATCGTAGCACTACAGAGCATAGCTGATTTTCCATCACCCATCACACAAGTAGACTCTCATTCAATCCTCCTTGTGCTTGACATACAAAGGCAAAGCCCCCTTTACAGACTGGAGGGAATTGATGTCTTACTCAAGATTGCGTGATAATAAAACAAAGAATAGAGTTAGATACAGATGTGTGGTTTTGCTCAAGATAGTTACTAACAATACATCCTTTCTTTCTTCTTTAAACCTGCACCAAAGGCCTAAATGTTTTATCACTGTGTTAAGCTCCTTCATTTAATTGAATAATGCTAATTAAACTTTGTGTGTTAAATTTTTGCAGAAAGCCATTCCATGCCTTTGAGAACACCCTAAGAAAATTGGTTTTGCATACTATGATGACTCTGCTAATCTAATGTAAAAGAACATATGTATGCTATCAATTGTTCATATGACACAGTGATCCTTTTCCACCAATTTACTGCTAAACACTTTTCCTTGTGATCAGTCACTTTCATTTCTAAGAGACCTCATGATGGTTAAGTAGAAAGATTGAAAGATGGAACAGAGACTTTTCTCTTGGCAACTCAGTATCATGGATACTGTGTTACTATTGTGGTCTTGGTCTTAATATGGTGATCACCCAATTGAGTTCTCTGTCCTGACGTTGAAAATATACACCATCTTTCAAGATGCTATTTCCTATAAACACCACCCAAAACATCTGCAATGAAATTGTGCAAACAAGTATATTTACTACTAGGTTAAAATTTTGCTATTGGCAGAAAATTGTTAGAGCGCTGAAAATTCTAGAATCTGGCTCGCAAAAACAGGTTCAGATAAGTGTATATATGTGCTTCTCTTAAGATATTTATGATGTAAGTCTCAAGCAAGTAAAGTAACCATACATGCACAAAAATATGGTCGATCAAATGCCACATCTGGAAAGATCATGCAGTAAGGAGATACTTCATCTTTTGAAAGGTGCCCTATTCCTGTCAAAGGGCAGCAAGTTGTGACAATGCTACTTCCATTTCTGTTGCACTTGATACTTTGAAAATCTTTATTCTATGACCACCAGGCATGACCGTCCCTGGTTTGCAAATAAAGAAATGTTCCATAAATGTTCCGCAAAGGCTCGAGAAAAAAACAAAAGACAGTGATTCTCTACAGCCGGATATGTAATATATATAAGGGAGGAAGGGAGAGCAGTAGTGTTGGGGAATTTTGTTTTAGTTCGTTAGCATTTAACAATGTTTTAGAATCACATGCTTTTATAACAGTCTTCGTAAGTATTTGTAAGAGCGACGTTAGAAGTATCAAATAACTACACATAAAATGTTCCCTTTCCAATGACCTAAACACATAGAGACAACAGTGATTCTAAAATCATGACAAATTGCTGTGAATTATGTTAGTTTGATAAAAGCCGTGATCCCTACCACAAACAGATTATCTGAGAGCTTATTAATAACGGACAGGAAATATCTTCTGCTTTCAAATCTGTTTAGAACACTACACCAGGTTTGATTAATTGACTTTGATGCTTGTGACAATGTGACTTCTGTGACTGTCCTGGTTTGTCGGTGGGTGCCGAGGGAATCATCGGAGCCACTGAAAAACCCAAAGAAGTAAAACCAGTGACATCTCAGAGTGTCACGTGCTGATTAGCATGTGGTTGAAGGTGGAGGATAATCTAATAAACACAACAGTCCTCCAGTTTTTAGCTCTTAAGAAAGATCGCATGGTGAAATTTTCAATTAACTTTTAAGGAGTCTGCAATGACAGCTCATAATTCATTGAGCAACCCTCTCAGGCTGTCAAAAAGGAGTGCTGATGGTTGTTCACAAATTAATTCCCTTATGATTTGGAAAATCAGAAGCCAAGCTGATTTCAAATTAAATTTAAAATCCATACATGAATAAAATATTGATTTTTAACATATTTTCTTGTTAAATAATTCTCCAGGCTTTGATTTTAAATGGTCTAAACTTTGATTTATTTTATATTCTGAAAATGTCTTGGGCACTGTGACATCCTTTTTGTCATTTAAAGCATATGGTTCCTTACCTACTTCCTATGGTGACTCAAACTACAACTTGGTTAAATCAGTTAAACATCCTGGGCAAAGACTATTACATATGTTTAGTTATTTTCTCATGAGAAGTGGGTAATTCTTGATGCTATCTGCTTCAGTTACATCTTGGAAGTCTCGCTGGAATATCCTCTCCTAAATATTTGTTGTTTCTGATGCGTGTAAAACCTTGATTCCCCCAGGCGGGGTAGATGCAGTGGTGTTCTGAATCTGTCTGCATTGACTCAGGAGAGCATCTCTTTCCGGCTCTGGGTTTAGTGACATCACATTGGTAGCTTGAAATTGGCTCTGCCAGAGCTGATTGTTAAAAATTTACGAGCGCCCTACTGGTAGATAGTAATGATATAGTCTTGTCATTCAAAATTCTACAGAAATTTTATTGTTTCCTTGATCACCATTTAACACTGTGAAAAAAAAATAACTTCTCAGCAACAGCACCCCATGTTAGGAGAACGTTAATCTTTGTAAGAGATAAAATCCAAAATATCAGTGGCTCCACACAACAGAAGTTCATTTCTTGCTCAGATAAAAAGTTAAGATAAGGGCTGATTGGTGAAGGCGATCTTCCAAGCAGCGATGGAGGGACCAAGGCTCCATGATGCTCTGGCCATCCTTGACATGTGGCTTCCACAGTCACTGTGCTCCTAGGCATCAAGCTGGCAGAAGGGACCAAACACAGTAAAACACATGTGGGCATTTTTTTCTGAGCCAGGCCTGGGAAGCTCAAAAATGATGTCTACTTAAGTGTCGAAGGAGAAGGGAGGACTTGTTTCAGCTAGTCCATCTCTGCCACAACAATGAAAATACGCTATTTCACTGTAACGTGTGTCTTTGTAACACTAATGAACTTATGCATTATTGTGAGAATGAGGTCTATATCATATTGCAGTTGTGTTAGTTCATGTGGGGTTTTTTCTGGGCAAAGAGCCACAATAGTGGGAAAGAATTGCAATCTGTATGGGGAAGAGCTCCCAGCTCAGTAGCTGGGCAGGCAGAACCCCGTCAACCCTACTCCAAGACAACTGGAAACAAGGGCCTGCCCGGGACTTGTCCTAGAGGAGCGAACCGACCCGGCCAGTTCAGACTCGTCTCTGTCCTGCAGCCTTAACCACCCCCCTGTCCAGATTACCACCTGTGGTATTAATTACTGTTATTCTTGGTGGCTGGTGACAAAGTTCTAAAGGTTTTTTGAGTAGACTGCCTCAAAACCAACTTCCCCATAGCGCTGTTGTTTTTATTGTGCTGTCTTACAGATTAACAGCAGCACACAGACGTGACATAGCTGATCCACAGAACATATGTTACACCCAAATCTATACTAGTGCTATTTACTAAGATGCTTATACCATATATTTCCTTGTTTATCTGTAAGCCCCATAAAGGCAAGAACTGACACTGTTTTATCCACTGCTTATTCTCAGCACCTAGAATAGTAGATAGTCCATATTTTGTTGTTGTTGAATGAAATTGTTTAATGGTCTATTAGATTGCTGGCAGGAATATCACATGTATTACTAGGAGCTGATCCAGCACTCAACCTACAGTTGATAAATGCTTTTTCCTTTTGCCCTTACAGACAGGCACAGTGACACCATACTTGTCACCTAATTGTTCTTCCTCACATTATCTGGCCTGATCTAGTGTAGCCAAGTTTACCATTGTGCTGGATTTCTTGATCTACAATTTTACTCTTTTCTTGGGGGGAGGGGCATCATATATATATGGCTATCCTACAACTCTAGATAGAAATTTACAGACATCTACCATAGCCAGAAGTCCCTGCTCAGCAAATGTGCATCTCCATATGACAAAAATCGAGAGCCAGCAAACAAAATACATAAAGGGAAAAGCAAAGATCTCTATTCAGAAATAAATATGCAACATCTAGTAAAAAAATTAGTAGCCCCATGCTTGAGTTTTGCAGGGCCCTACACACTGTGCCATGACCTCAGGACTCCATATTGTAGCAAACTAGAAAGATAAATAAAGTTAAGAGAAAAGGGAACTAGGAAAATGAACTCCTGAAATTATCCTGCAATACAACTGCCAGAAATGGCTTCACCTCAATTAGAATGAAAATCTTCATGGGGCCTTGGCACACTCAATGTAGGAGATTTTTATGCATATCTCTCCATGACTGCTAGATTAAACAGGCAAAAAAATTAGTAAGAACATACATAATTTGATCTAAAGTACATTTATAGAAACTTGTACCCAATTTTCAGCGAACAAACATTTTTTTCAAGAATTCATGGATGATTTATGAAATTTACTATGTGTTAGGCCAAAAAGCAAAGCAAATTTCAACAAATACTGAAGAACTGAAATTACAGACATTTTCTTAATGCAATTGAGAACTAGATATCAACTACAGAATTAGAGCCACATATCCCAACATGTTTAGAAACTTAAAAAGCTGATTCTAAATAAAGCACAGTTTAAGGAAGAAAACATCATAGAAATAATGAGCTTTTAGAACTAATCATTGATGAAAGAAAGTTCACATCAAAATTTCATGAATGGAACTAAAAGAGTTCATAGAAATGAATTTATAGCTTTAAATGTATATATTAGAATCTTAGAGAGGCGGAGTCAAGATGGCGGCGTGAGCAGACTCTGAACTCACCTCCTCCCGTGGACACAGCCAATTTACAACTACTCGTGGAAAAATTACCCCTGAGACAGAACTGAAAACTGGATAAG